TCTTGCACATGGGATTCTCAGAAACTGCCAAGTTTAACGGAGGAGTTGCATCAAGGTTCACAAGTGCCTGTTTCTCTTGCAAAAACAGCAATTTCTCTGAAGTTGCAGTCAGCTCTAGTGGTGTTCTGCGGCCTAATGATCTTTTGGCGTCAAATGGCGTTAGAAACTTGAAGATAATGGGGCAACCGCCCTGTGGAAGTTTCTTGCGCAACCGTTTACAGTCGCAGGGTGTGTTTACCACACTGCAAGCTCGTAGAATTTCACTTTTAGCAGTTTCCAAACGCATGTTATCACGTACATTGTACACTAAGGCTTGCTGAGATGGTGATGATAGCTTTTTTACCTCGGTAGCAGTGAAACCTACTAAGCTGTTGCCCTTCTGCAGGTTGCCACTTGATAGTGTTAGTTTGGCGAAACAAATAAGCTAACGCAGAAACTTTCTCCGGCGTTTCTTGAATATCATCTAAGATAACCCTGGCACCGGCAATGTCATTTTGGTCTTCCTCGAGTCTTGTATTCACTCATGGGACAATGTCTGAGGCTCTGATGATCGCTGTGTAGGAAATAATTTCTCCTGCATCCAAACTACAGGTTGAGACACCTTTCTCATGGGACTTAGAGACAGGTCCTGAAGCACTCGTTTCAGAATCTCCACTAAGACAGTCCATTTTCGAGCGCCTAGCTTTATTTCTTCCCATAGTTAGGGTATAAATTTTGGTTCATTCTCTGTTGCGTCAGACAAAGGTTATTTAACACGGAAAGCTAAACGAATTCGCTAACCAAATACGATGTACGCGTGTATTACTGCTTTTCAGGTAGTACTAGTTGTCACAGTACATGGAATGACCGATTCAGAGCAAATGATAAAAACCACTCCAGAATGTAACACGGTTCCGAACGTACCGCGTGTAATATACGTTAGTCCATTTAAGATAGAGCGTGCATTTATGAAGAAAATAATGATTATAAAACATCTGTTATTTCTCAGATTAGTCAATGAAGCAACACAACTTGTTTATTGTTGGACGACGAAGGTGCATTATCAGTGGAGGATTCGGAGGACGTCAGGTTTGGTAGGGAGCGGGAAAAATGAGGGTCTAGGAGGATAGATTTGATACGTTGAAGGAAAGAGCACTGAGACTGCACGAGAAATCCTGACAGGATGCCATTATATCAAGAGTGTCCCCTGTGAAAGTCTTGACGGTCACAGTGGTTACTAGGGTCACTGACCCTTAGTTGAGAGTCAGGCTGACGTATGGAACTGATTCTTCTTGTGTCCTCATAAGCACAGACAAGATTTTGAGACGAGCGTCAAGAGGGAAGTGAGGGGTAGACCATTTCCCTAACGATACCTAGTCGACCTGGGGGTGAGCTATGATGCGCATGCTTGCCAGGTTGTTCGGACTAACATGAGGATATTTCCTAAAAGACCTATGTTTATCTCTTGAATTTGTTGAGGGATCGCATTTCATCTGATTTTTTAAAGCAACTTACTCTGTCAACTTTTTTGTCCATGTCTGTCCTGGAGCCACTTGGTTTTTAATTGTGTGATGTGAGCGCCAGAAACTAAACACGACCATTGTCCTCTTCCCTTATCGAAGTATTTTCGCCTTATCTAAAAGCTGTTACCGGTTGAAGGATAGTCTGAACGTAGATTATGTGCAGAGATGAAACTGTTTCTTTGAGTGGATGCATCAGCAGGATTTCCGTTTCTGTTGGATGGCAGTGTCTTAGGAACTTCTACACAGTCAGTAGGGATTGAGGATGACATGATGTTCGTTGTACCTGATGATGGTCACTTATTTTGGTTGATCCTGCATTGACACAGTCTTATCTGCAGTGGCTTTCTTCTGCCTAAACCGAGTACATTTTCAAAATATTTTCTGTTTACCAGTGACGCTTGTAGCCTTCGTGGGACGGCAATTGCTAAAAACAGTCATAAGGTTCGCGGAATATTCAATGAGTGGGTGCTTTATGAAATAAAACTCACGATAATTATCAACTTTCTGAATCCAATAAACGGGAGGTTCACCAGGCTTTCGTTCCCCGGTGAGTATACGGCAGCGATGTAAGAAAGTGATTTCTTTGCATACCTCCTGGAGTTCAAGAAAACAATAAAACTGTCGATGTTCAAGGGCGTATTAGAACTTTGATGATAGGCAGGGTTCTCTGTTTTCTATTGTATCAGTTCTAAGACATTAGCAGTGTGTTGAGTACTGTTTCAGTCCTAAGCACCACCTACAAGACAAGAAAAGGCCAAGGCCGTCGCAGTAGAAGGCCATAACAACTAGTTAACAAATAATGCCAGCGTCTTAGATTCTTACATCAACAATGGCAGAAATTCTGAACCAAAAAAATAAATATCCTCCGAGGATTTGAACTCACGGGATGTTTGACTCGGTGTACTAGATTTGGTCGTATGGAAGTGGGTAAAATTATTCCATCAGAGGTGTCACGGGATCAAAAGATGAAGTCCTTTATTGCATGTAGAAGGCGCCTAATTGCTCAGGTCAACAGCGTTAGTTATCGTGGTACATCTTTTTAAGCAGTAAAACGGCTAAAATTCAACCTCTCTGGGACAAACCCAGCACATTGAGCCAATGATTTCTCGCCTGACCTGAAACATGCCTTTTTTCTAATAGTTTTTAATGATATAGATATTCTTTGGCGCCGAGAAGCTTCCATCCCTGGAGTTTCGTCCGTAGAGCCTATGGTTTTCAGCCCTTGGCGGCTTGTAACAGTTTTCTGTGCTGCGTTCATGCTTGAGGGACAGAACTAAGAGGATGCGACGAAACAAGTGGCGTTGGTAACCCAACGTAGAATGTCATCGTTGAACTATGGATGGTATCTATGTCGGGTTTGGTATGCCCAACAATGTGGATTGCCACCATGCATGTAGATTAATAGTCAGCTGAAACATCTGAGGAGTCAGTTGGTGAACCTGGGTAGAAATGATGTATATGCTATTTCTAAGATCGATCCATCTTGATGCTGATGGGCTACCGAAGGGGCCATAATGGTTTAAACCACGGTATTCATGCATCTAGTTACGGTTTAAAGAATAACTTAGAGCCGATGGGCCTACTATTCAGTTCCGGTGGTTTTAGCTTCATGGTGGAAATATGAGCTATACTCATGCATGGACGATCATGATGATTTCGGTTTCAGAAGGTACCCTTTGGCATATGTCAACTTCAAAGGTCTTTGCACCGAAGAACTGGCAGTGAGATGACTTAAAACCCATTTGTTTACGTGAGTAATGGCCTTCGGAGTGTGTCTGTGCAGTGACTCCAAAGAACAGTAGTTATCTTTATGATTAGAGTACGCTGAGGAAGACGATCTGCGGAACACAAACCGTTGTGTGTTGGAGTTGGTTTAAAGAGTTTGTGGATCATCAGAAGAATATAAGTCAGCCTTTTGTTTATTATCTGCATTGAATCAATCGAAGGTACTTCGGGATTTGCCTTAGTGTGAACCTGACCAACGCAAAGACCAATCACTAATTATTCGGACTTGCTATACACCTACGAATACGTGACCAGGGAAGAACACGACAGCGTGGTCGGATGGAGTAGTATATTTGGGTGGTTGTGCCAAAATACTGATGCTTTCCAATTAACTGGCTAGAGAGTCGAATACAAGCAGTGCAACGTAACACAGCAGCGTGCCAAATGGCGGGGACGCTTGACCGGGTACCTTCAGCTTATCGAGTCCAGTTAAACTATCGAGGTCAGCATCAATGTTGAATCTCGTTGAACCCTAGGCTATTGATTTGGGGAAGTGTGTGTCGCTGTAGTACTGTGACCAGCCTCCGTAACACTGGAAACTATTGTCTGTATGTAGTACTTAGTGAAAGCGCTACGTACGAAAATTTTGGGGCTGCTTTTAAGCTAGTGGGATCTGTATTTGTCACGAGTGATATTTGCAATGTGATAACGCACGTTCTTCAACACCGCTTATCTGTTTTAGAAGTGCTGAAGAGGTACTATCTAATTTTGCCTGTGTATCAACTGTCGCTAACTCGTTAGTCACAATATCTCCACTGTCATCATAGATATACTCAATGAATTTGTCACTAAACAAAAAGGTGGAGGGAATGTGAAGCTGGAGTCTATGTTCTTTGGGAGAACTGAAGAAGACGTGGAAGTATTCTCCTAAGGAGAAGAAATTTTTATCGGAACTATATGTTCAGATCTGGTAGAATTCGTGTTAGTAAGGGAGTTGTGACACTGAGTTGTTGAACTGCTACGATGAATGTTACTGTAAGATGAAGATTTATGAGCCTTTCTTGAGTCTAAACTCGAGAACCTGGGTCAATAAACTGTCGAGCTGAGCGTGCAACTACCTAGAGCTCTTAATGAACACATGGAAGTGTAAAAACCCCTTCATGGTAAATGAATATGTGGACTAAAAATGTTTTTGAGCATCTAGACCTAAACAAAATGCGTTCTAGAGTTTACAGAACATATATAGCTGAACAGTTCGTTGAGTGCAAACAATTACATTGTTTAAAATCAACGCGAAGCTCGTTTTGCCATTGCAAACTATAATGACCAAGTAAGTAGGCAGATACATCAGTTTTGGTGATTTAAAAGGGAGGGAGAAGGAGTTTCAGAACAGTTTGAATGGAAAACAACTAAGATATGTGAAGTGTATGATTGCAAGCTGTGTAAATAGGAGTCTTTTGCAATGCAAGAAGTTATTGGTTTTCAACTGGTGAATAGTTTTATTCAAGGTGGAATACAGTACACCTAATGCCACTATTTTTCTTGTTATGCTACTCAGGACTTGGTAGCGCTTCTTTTTTTCTGGAAAACAGAGTATTGGAAAGGGAGCGGTATCTTTTTTCTTTTCGCTCCTAAACATCAAATGCATGTAACCCGATTCAGTTATCTTTCGCCATCTAGAAGTGAGCTGGAAAAAGTCAATTATTTACACTATCTAATAAAAAGATATTGGATATTGGAAACTACTGAAAATGAAGTGCAAAAGTTGATTGCATGCGTGCCATTGTTAGACAGGGTGAGTATCGACTTTATGCGCATTTTTAGTAGTAAAATGCAATTGTTTAGTAATAGTTATAAAGATTCTCGATACATTTTGGAATCTTCAGCGTGTTACATTGCGATAAAAATGTAATCTTCAACGGTATTTGGAAGTTTTATTCATCGCAATCTAAATTACGTAAATAATACTAGTAAGGAAGATAGTTGCACATGAATATTTAAAATATTAAAAACGAAGGTCATTTGATATCACAAAGTTGAGGAGTGATTTCCGTTCTGTTAGTTTCACATAAGATGCATGACAGACATAAGGCAGTTGCAACTCCCTTATAGGTCCTAGTGTTGAGCCAAACGAGCGTAAACTCATGTGATTTCTTTTTTCATCCCTAAAAAAATAGTGACAAAGAGCCGTGAATCAAATGGATGTCAAGCATTAGGTTTTGAAACTTCAGTGACTAAGAAGGCTTAGGCGTATACTTTGGATGCCGACCTACTGCCTACGTCGGCGTGCCATGCTAAGGGAAGTTCGATTTGATTAAAGGAGGATTCAGGGTGGCTGGATCAAGACATGGTATCAGTACATAAGGTTTTTGACCTTGTCAGCTAAGTAGTTTGGCACAAACTACCTTGGGACTACTGGAATCAGTGGTTGAGACCTCGAGGTGAAATGGCTGAAAGTCGGTCACAATAGCGCACATGTATTCACTCTTTACCATCTTCTAAGACTTGAATATCCACAGTAGCCGTTACCTTCAGATCGTTTATTCTCACACAAATTTGTTACTTTGACGTCAGTCTTTTCCTATCTACCTGTTCTTTGTTTACTGCTGTGAAGTATGGCTATGTGGAGTGATGAACTTGTAGGCGTAGTTCTACGTTGACTTTGTCTGTTGACTATTAGAAAGGTTTTTGGTCCCATCTGAGTAGAGACATTCGCCAAAATGGGAAAAAGTGACACTATACTTTCATTTTCTTGTTTTTGCCAACTATGGATGTTTCGTCTAGTGTTCATGTTGTTACTGCATCTGAAAAATCGTGATGAAGCAGTCCATAATATGTACATGTCACATTCTGAGGCCAATTTTACCTATGAGTCCCAGCATTGCAATTAAGGGAAGCCAGCATTCCGTATTAACGTGCAACAAATTATTCAGCCAATAGATCGTATGATGAATTTATGATTAACAGGTTAGTTTGAAGCTCTTATATCTTCAAAGCCAGACAGTGAAATGTCGTACCTAATTTCGTAGAGCTATGGCTTAGTGATTTAGGAAGATGACTGTCAACCATCAGGTCGTGGGTTCTGACCCCACTCCACCTACCAAGGTTGGAGCAACCAACCCTCGAACAGCAGGTGTGGCTCTTTGCCTACTGCGCGAGTGTACACTAGGTGTCTAGGTACGTTAGTACACTTGTGTTATACATTTTGTACCTAAATACTTGGTCTTGATGCCCAGTTTTAGCTACTAAACTTCGATATCTAAACGATGAGTAATTGTGATTGTATCTCTTAAGCTGGTAAAAATATATTGATTTCTTACCTTCAAAATTTAAAGACCTGATATCGACATATTCTTTTGCTACAGAAACTGCCAATGTAATTAATTCTCCTGCATGTCAATACATAAAAAAGCGTACTCGTTTCTAATTGCTCGTTTCCATGACATTTAAATGTCCTTCTTGTGCGGCTGAATTCTTAACTTCTCTACTGATATATTGGTATATTGTAGTCGTTTATCTACTACATACAGTGCGGAAAAGTGTTCAAAGCTAAATATAGCATTATAAAATCGGCCAAAGTCCACCATATTCGTGGTAGAATACCTTTATTAGTTCCATTCCCTCATAATACGAGGGTATTCTGAAGACCTAGTACATTCTATTCACTGTTACTTGTACCTTGTTGCTTATTACCACAAGCGAGTGAGTTATACAGGAGTGGTTTTTCGTGAGGAGGTGTTGTTCGATTGGAGTGAACTTTGTGCTTCTAAGGAAGCCAGATCGATAATCGTGTATCTGGGTTTCTAGCATCCTAGACATATGTGAGCGTGTATGGCTATTACTTTTTTCCTGCTGATAATGTGATAGATCCTCAGATCGTCCTTACTAGACCACTTTCTATCATGAATAGTTTCGTATTTAATTAGTATCGGCCAGTACGACTTTCAATATTCTGGATTTTTATACTATAGAGAGTTGATCTTTCTAGTTAGTCCCGTAAATGATAGTTACTGATATAATTATTTTCACTTTGGAAAGTAACTCTTGCCAAAGAATTCCATTGAATTGTTCTGTAAGGTTGAACGCATGTTCTCCTATTCAGGTAAGTTTTAGGTGGTAAACTATGGTTCATAATACCTGTGCTGACATTCTGGTGTTTCATTGTGACCGTGCCTTTTTTTTATATCATCAGTCGTCTGAGTCTCTGCTTTCGGCTTTTCATACATCTGGAGGTACTTACAATGATTTCAGAGGTTCACAAGAGACTATTAGAGTCTCTTCCAACCGTTCCGCTGACAGTAACTGTGTTGTTTCGTGATACGTTATGACTGCCATCTTTATGTGGCTGGGTGTCCACCGATTTCTCGTTCTCAAAAGGTCAGCAGACATCTTTGTTTACTGGTCTGAAAGTCTCGTTTTCGAACCCCCTTCTCTTACTTTCTATATACCTCGCGGTAGAGTTACAATTATTTCCATTCGGTTCTAAAGGCTTGCCGACTAAACAAGGTCTGATTGTGTCGTGTAATACGACTAACCTTCCTATAATGTTTTGTCTTATAGCTTCATGCATTTGAGAGCTACTTGAAAACTGGAAGGAGAATCATCCCATTGTATAGAAAGGACACAAGGTGCGACCTGAAAACTACAGACCAATAACAGTATTCTCGTGTATTTCTAGGATACCAGAAATCTGGATATACGATAACTTATCTGATTTCCTTACAAACAGTTCACTGCAATCGGGCAACATGACTTCATAAAAAGCTGCTGCTCTATAGGTTACTTGCTTGTAGCAGTCGACCATTGGACAGCTACATTGGATAACAAAACCAGGGTAGATATAGTCTCTACCTTGTACAGTCGAAAAACGCTCGATAGAATCAATCACTACCACCTACTCTCATAACTAAGTACTGCCGGCGTTCACGGTAAACTACCAAGCTGGTTTGGCTCCCGTTTAAAGAATCACCACTTCATAGTGAAAGTCGACGATTGCTGCCCAACACGACACCCTTTGAGTGTTATCCCGCAAGGTTTATCACTTAGCTTCTACCGTTTGAAGTTTAATTCAACGACCTACTAAATTTTCTTGAATGGTCATCAGTAGCGCTAGCAGACAACTTGTAAATTAAAGAAAAATTGGCAACATGAGCGGCTGTAATACACCACATTACTATATAATGCTGGTAATCGATCAGTATCAACATGGGATCTGGCCTATCTGCCTAATGGTCTAAGTTGAAGCGCCTCATACAAGTGCATCAAGCGAGAAGGCACCGGAATGAAAAGTAAAAAAATTTCGTAGCAATGGTCGAAAGTTGTGAAAAAAGAACAAGGAAGAATGAGACTAGTACTAACTTTTATGACAATTAAGATAAGGGTATGTGGATATATCAGTCCCACTGCCATCGGTTCTCGGCCATATCACCTAGATTCAGAACCGCCGGTTCCTAATGTCACATGGCCCCAACCGAAAAGTCTCTTTTCCTACAGACTAGCAACCAAAGACTTCATGAACTGATACCATGTTCTGGTCTAACCGTCTCTTACCTCTTCCCAACCTAAACCTTCTGCAGCTAACATTATGCAGTGGGACAGATGGTGATTTGTCCTGCTTAGCATGTACCCAGCCATCTGGGTTAGTGAAAATGTAAAACCTCATCAACCGACTTTCCTCTTCACCCTAAAACTCTGCGCCTCGCTTCTACGATACTGACATATTGGTTGCACAGTACACCCTATGCCACGAAGACAGCAACAATTGAACACCTGAAACCTCTTCGTGCCATTCACTTTCATCAGTCATGTTTGGGTCATATGGTAAGACAAGGCGAACTGCAGCACAGTAAACGTGGCTTTTAATTATTATCATTTACTATCTTTATCTTGGATTCCCAGTGGAACATAGAGCTTCAGTAGTACGTCACCATTTCAATCTCTTCTCTGCAGTCTTTTGAACCAGACTCCAGCACTGTCGAGTAGCTTGCATTTCCTCCTCACACGATCTCCTCCATGTGGCCCTCAGACACCCAACTCTTCGTTTCCCTTTTGGGTTCCACTCGAGGGCTTGGCCTGATCTGGCGCGTAATGTTCTCAAATGGTATTCCAAGTGTATGTCCACTCCGACCCATCTCCACTTCCTTCTGCATATTTGTTGGGTGATGGGTTCTCGGTTGGTTCGTTATCAGCCAGCCAGAGTCCCTTGTTGCTTATTCTTATTATTCTGGCCATCAAATCTTCAGTGTCAGTATCGAGTGAGCCAGCGTAGGCGGCAGCTGTTGATGAATGCTTTTCGTAACGCGCCACTAAGTTTCTGAACCATCAAAGAGAAGTATTGACTTGGCTGACATTATTGTTGAAAATTCGGATATTGTTCACGCTTCATGCTGAGTGCAGTAGATCTCCACATTGATTTCAGATTAATGAAGCCCTGCTTTGTTGTCATTACAATCCTGTCTTTGACATCCTCATGTGTGCCGCCGTCCGTAGCTGAAACGATGCTGCCTAGTTAGGTAGATGAAAGAGACTACTTCCGTTAGGTTTCTCCTGTTGATGGTGATTGGTGCTGTTGTTGGTTGGGTATCCCCATCACATCTGTCTTCTCCACATTCACTTGAAATCCCGTCTTCGCTGCTTCCTCTGTCAACTTGTTAGTTTTCGCCTGTGTATCTTCGAGAAGACATCACACATAAATCATCAGAGGCGAAGTCCAAATCTTCTTGGGTCTTTTCATCAGTTCAGCCAGCGTATGCCCATCTTCTCGCTCTTCACGGTTTTCTGCGTGGTCCAGTTCAC